TACTGAAATAGATAATCACGAAAATGATTCAAGATTCTAGACAATATTTAAATGTAAAATAATAAATTATAAATACCATATAGATATATGATCCGTTCAACACATTAAAATATAACCAATTGTTCTTACAACTTACTATAATCTGCATGCTGATGAAAAAATTCCGTTCACACACACATCTGATGTATTTACTTATTTAAAACTCCCGAAAATTCAGGTTATTTGTTTACGTCAAATGTCGTTGTAAGCGGACGTAAAGTTTAATTGCGTCATCAATTGTGCATGGATTGTGAACATTAATACAGAAAGGTGCTCACTTCTCATTTTGTGAAAATTTCCGAGGGACAGAATCAATTACCGTGGGTGTACAGTATAATAACATGTTATCGACATATTTGATTGGCTCAGTCATGACATAATATTCGTGCCAAAAAGCTGGAGGGTATGTTGCTCGATGCATGATTTTCTTATCTGGGCGGTGCGTGATGTAAGATTTAAAGAGATTAGAGCTTCTGGTAACTTCCGCTTTCTGGTTTCTTTGTGTCGCGGTTCAAGTTCTTTGAGGGCTTCATATGGGGTACTAAATTTGTTGGCCATAGCTTTGTATATGTATTTGGATGTAATAAAGGCAAATCTTAGATGCAAGGGGGGTTCTCTCGCCTCACTCAGCATAACATTAATAGGGGTGGAAACGCGGTAGCCCATGGCTTTCCTGATAGCCTTGTATTGAATTCTAAGGTGTTTAATGAAATTTGCGAATTCGGGATTCCAAGAGAAAACCTGAGCCCTATATTTGACAGCGCTTCTGAGTGTCGCGCGATAGACCGTGAGCAAGACGTCAAGATGAGAGCCCCATTTGATTCCAGACAAGGAGGAGATGATAGTAACTATATTTTTACCCCTTTCGATAAGAGTTTTCAGTTGTGGGACCCGTCAGCTTATAGTCCAGGACGACTCCAAGGAATTTATGTGAGAAAATTCTGGGAATGTAAGAATTTTCTATGTGGATAGCAGGGACCTCAGGGTATCCTTTAGAGCGAGAGTATATAACGTATCTTGATTTAGAAGGCGAGAATTCAAGACCTCTGTATCGTAAGTAAGAATAGATACCATTGGGGTGATCCCGATTGACCACGGCTCGATTGGACACCACCAATCACAGCGACCGGTTCTTAGGAGCTTTGTAGTCTCAAGCGCTGTGAGTGGCTCGTGTCCAATTGAGCCGTGTCCAACTGGGTGCCACCCGATATGTAGGATTCACACTGCGTACGACATACGACGTACGACGGTACGATATCCAATAGGACAGCTTGTTTTCTAGATATATAGCTAACAATATTTTGTCTTACGATGAGCTTGTCGTACGATGAGCTTGTCGTACGCTTTGAAGCTGTTCACATTGTGCACGATTTAATGATTCGTACGATAATGCAACATAACCTGCAGCTCAAACTAAAAATCTATCGAAGGCTAAAAAAAGCTCTAGTGGCAAAGACTAAGACTCCAAAGCCAAAAAACCACTCAGGCAGCAACAAAGATCAGAAAAGCAGCAAAAAACAATTTTAATCTCTCTCTTTTAATGGTTCTTTTAAATAACATTTATTCTTGTTGGTAGAAGGTATAAGTGGTTTTATATTACTAAATGTTCTAAAAGCAAAATCATTTAAACATATTAAATAATATATTAAAATATATTAAATAACAATTAAATTGATAATTATGTGATAATGTAATGTAATAATATTTACGAACTTTCGACGTGTTACTGTTGATCGTAAAAATCCCATTAACTCAAAATATGGCCATGATACTGGCTTAGGTTTGGCTTCAGCAGCACTTCCACTAGGAACATATTTATTTTGCTCACTTAACTTTCGGACATAAGTGTCGCGTAGATTACGCCATTTAGAACATGCTGTACCAGGATATAAATCTTAAAAAAATATATATATATAAAATAAAATGAATAATAGTAAGATATAAAAACAGATCGACCCGTAGTCATAAGTCTAATTAATATATATTGAGATATTAATTCAAACATCTAACTTTGACCGTAATTAGCTTTTGTATTTAATAAAAAAAGAAAAATTTTACACATTATAAAAAGTTCTTTTTCATAAAAAGCTTACTTAATTTTTCATCAATCTCCGACCACAAAAATTTGATTGTTGCTGGTCCTCGATTTTCATATGGAAGACTGCTATTCCACAATGGTGGTCTTTGAAATACCTCGTTAATTAGTTCTTCAATATTTGGAACTTCAGATTGAAGTACTATCTCGTCGAATGGTTCCCAATTATTATTTGATTCTTCATTTTTATTTAAACAGCATATGTGATCGGAGGAATCCAACAATTCGCCACAGTCTGTGCAATACTTGAACAAAAATACAAAAAAATTTAATTAAATATGCAATTTGTAATATATTAAAAACGTTAATTTATCAATTATAATATATAAGATATACATAAAAGTGAAAACAAATCAATTAATAACCTAACCTAATCATTTAACCTTGATAAAATTATTTTTATAAATATTTTATTACTTACAGCATTGTCCATTATGTATCTCGATTATGTATATCGCAAAAATGACGGCGATTCCGGTCAGAATCGTAAATAAATCGTGAAATCAAAGTATGATATACACCGATCACCTCAAACCGATGAATGGGACGAAATAATGCCCGAACCGGGCAAGACGCATGTTCGTCCCGTTCGAGTGGTCTCGCGAGACTTGTGTCCGTCGTACGTATGAAAAAGTTCAGTCTTGAAGAACATTTTCGTACAAGCATCATCGTACGACAAAATGTTTTAGCTGAAATATCTAGAAAAAGTTCTCCTATTGGATATCAGACATCGTACGTCGGATGTCGTACGTAGTATGAACATATGCGTCGTATGACGGACGTCGTACGCAGTGTGAGTCCTACAATACCATTGATGGATTTTTGTACAGAAGAAATAGCCGTATTGATATCGCGTTGAATGGAATATATGACCACGTCATCGGCATATTGCAGAATTTGAGACTCCGAATGGAGGTGAGAATTAATGTCTTTCAGATAGATGTTAAAGAGGATGGGACTGAGTGTGGAGGTGTGCTTTTGTAAGAGTCAAAAGGGCCCAGAAGAGAACCATCAACCACAAAATGCAGGCGTCTTACGGAGATGTAATTTTCGATGAATTTTCCGATGGGGGTGGGGATGCCAATGTCCAGTAACCCCGGATCTACAATAGATTTTTAAGCTTTAAGCCATAAGGAATGGACGAATCACAATCAATTATTCTCCTCACATTTGACTGTAGTTGGTCAATTTCTTAGGCTTAAGGCTTAAAACACCTATTGTAGATCCGGACTAAGTCTTTGATAAGGATGTGGGGATCGACATTGTCAAAAGCACCCGCAATGTCCAAGAACACTGCAGCTGTGGGAAATTTCTTAAGGAAGCCTGTCCTGATGTTGGAAGTGAGAGTAGTAAGGTCATTGACACAGGATCTGGATGGACGAAAACCGGATTGGGTTTGTGGGAGAATTGGGTGCGATTCTATAAACCATCTAATTCTGAAATATATCATATGTTCTATAATTTTGGCTATGCAAAGCAAGAGAGAAATAGGGCGAACTGAGTCCCCCCCAGGTTTGGGGATGAGAACAACCAGAGAATTCCGCCAAGAATCTGGCAGCACCCCTTGCTCGAGAATTTGATTGTATAGTTGAAGAAGTCGAATGATGTATTCCTCAGGAAGACTGGAAATTATGGAATAATCAATCTGGTCCAGATCTGGGGCTGAGCACTTTTTGACCAACCTTAAAGCTCTTGAAAATTCAAAGCGCGTGAAGGTCTCACCCGGCCAGGGTTGGGTGTTATTTTGATGAAGATCCTCCTGTCTCAAATCCTCTATTTTTTTCGTGCGACGTAGAAGCAATAAGGAGGGCACAGTTTATCTATTGCAGCAAGTGAGACCGCCGTAAGATCATTGCTGTGAGACGAAGTAAGATTTTTGTTACGTCTGAAACTTTTAATGAGTGACCAAATACTATGCGTCGAGGTCTTGTTATTGAACTCACTCACAAGTTTCCTCCAACTAAGACGCTTTGCTTCATACAAATAGTCTGAACATTTTTTTCCTGGCGGTATTGAAGTTGTCAAAATGAGCTCTATCCGGACATGCGATGAACTCCCTTAGCGACCTTTTTCTATCCTTAACCGCAGCATCACATTTGTCATTCTACCACGGAGGGGGATCCAAGCGACGAGAGCACGACTTGCTATGCGGTACACCCTTTCCAGGGGGAAGTAAGCTCCTAGCCACCGACTGGACATGATCTACAAATGATATTGAGAAACAGTATTCTTAGCCTCGTTACCTAAAATTTTGTGAGCAGAGTTTTTTAATGTAAGACTTAACGTGTCTAGGTCTTCTTTGTTTAACTTAAGTTTGTAGTGGAATCTTTTGGAATAGGCGAGAAGAGTCCTGACCTCCGTGATCGTAGGGAAGTGATCGCTACCAAACGAGTCATCCAAGGTGTAATTTGTGCAGATTGGAGCCGAAATAGGGGATGCCAAAGTAAGATCAATAACGGACTTTCGTGCAGAGAGGTGAATTAAGGTGGGAAAGCCGTCATTTAGGACCACTAGATCAGATTCTTCGATTGCCTTCAAAAGCCTGTTGCCTGCGCCAGAGCGCGAGGGGCATCCCCAGCTGGAATGATGAGCGTTGAAGTCTCCCGTCAGTAGAAAAAGATTAAATTCCTTTAGAACATTTAAGAGATCCTGATAAAATGAAAGAGGAGTGTCCTGGCCGGGGTGTCTGTACAAATTTACTAAGATAATGGGCTCCTTGCAGGTAATGAGTTTAATGACGTGGAATTCCATTGACGGATGTTCAATGTTATACAAGTTATAACCTCAAATTTAATATTGTCTCTAATGAAAGTGCAAATGCCGCTGTGTCCTGCTAGAGCGATGTCTGTTCTAATAGCATGAAAGGACTTTATCCTAAGGCTATCATCGAGCTTGAGTAAGGATTCCTGAACGCAAATTACATTGTATTCTCTAGCGAGTAACAAGAGAGAGGCTTGATTGCCTCTGGCACCTCTGCAGTTCCATTGGGCGATCCTAAGATGGGCCGAGGCTTTCCTGTACGATGGTGTAATAGTGAATTGAGATGTACTTCTGCTATAATAAGTGTGCGGATGTGTGTGAGAGGAGGGAGAAGGGGCGTTTATGTGGGATGTTCTAGTTCCAAAAATTGCCCTGAAGATAGTCAGGAACTGAAGGCGCTTATCGCTGACGACGTTTCGCGAGGCATTTGGAGAAGTAAAATTTTGTATAAACGAAATGATTAAACCCAGAAGACTTGAAAAGTCGTGATTGCGGAAACAACGAATAATATCCGAAATTAAATTCATAATATCCAGTATGTATTTAGTGAATTCGAAGGAGTTGAATCCTTCAGAGCTATACTGAGGAGGGGAATTGTGTTGGTATGCCATACCTCTCGCGTTAGAGCGGTAGTGGATGCCTTGTGAGTCGAATAGCGCTTCACGGTGTGCCCTTCTATCATATCTAGGATTGTTAAATCTCTGTTGGCCAGAGTTTTGGCGAGCTGATGAAGCGAAGGAGTGATGATGGCTGCTGTTATCGTTATGAGAGGAAGCATGTTGTGTGGAGCATGTAGGGCGTGAACCGAGAGCATCAGCATATGATATGTAACCGTTTCCTTGGGCGTCCGTATTTAAAATGTTAAAGGAATTAGGGCTTGCCAAACTGGGAGAGCTTGAAGAGTTATAGAATGATTTTGGTTTAAGATGCGGGAAGTCTTGGAGGTTCAGCCTAGGGCTATTCCGAGGAGAGAGGCCACTTTGATCGTTGATGATTCTTCTGGCGTCAGCGATGGAAATATTTTCCGTCAATGATAATGTGATCTTGTTTGGAGATATCGGACATTTTTTGGAGATGATTGGACATTCTTTGGAGATGATCGGAGGCAAGGTGAGAGCCCTTGCAATTAATGCAGACGATATCCACTTCAGTGCCCCTTAATGGACAGGGGTCTTCGTCTACGTGTCCGTTGTTTCCACAATATAGACATCTAGGCGGGCCTTTGCAGACTTTTGCGATATGTCCAACCGTGTAGCACGTGAAACATATGCGGGGCTTAGGTATAAAAGGACGTACCTCGTGTTTAGTTTTGAATAGGAACACATCTCTTGGAAGAACCTGTCCAGCGAACTTGATGCGGAGCGTCTTAGAGGGAACGTATTCGCTTTTTCCATTTGTAGTAATCCTTCTATTTAGTCTATAAATGTCAAGGATTTTAGAGCATGGTGATTCAATATGCCTGCGGATATAATCGAGCTCTAATTCGGTAGGCACGTCTTGGATGACGCCCTCTCTGAGAACCCGGAAAGCTGGGATAAAGGCTTTAAGATTGTGTTTGGGGAAAGCGGGATTGTCCACCAATCTGTTCGCTGCAGCTGCTGACTTAGCTTCAATGAAAATTTTACCTCGACCGATTTTTTTGATCTCTTGAATGTCTGGAATTCCCGATTTGGCGATGATGCTTGAAATCATTATAGGATGCATGGATTTCTCACGATTCATATCGTATACACCGCATAGCCCATAGGGACACACCGTTATCCTGGGGACAGTATTTAGAAGTAATTTTGGGGTTAGAGGTACCGGAAGGGACTTGAGAGATCACGCCAGCCGTCTCCTCCTCTCGGACATGCTGTGAGGAAGTCTGCGCATACGTGGAAGAGGTAGAGGTTTCAGAGGATTTTTTCGGAGGGGAGGCCGAAGGTCGGCCCTGAGAATCTGCTTTCTCGGAGGAGGGACGCTTCCTCGTGTTGACGATCTCGTCGACGTCCATCTCTGAATCCCGGGAAACCTTCACTGTGAGAGCTAGGTGGTGATGCAATCTCTTTGTTAATATTGCACGATGCCTCGTCAGCTAAGCCAGCCTCGTCAAGAAGGGACTTGAGCATAGCATTAGAAAGGTCGCTAGATTCTTTAGAATTCATATTGCTAGATGGAGAGATTGTCGGTTTAGGCGGGTTAAACACAAAAGCAGGAGCTTGGAGGGAAAAGGAAACTGCGTTTTTGGTTAGGGCCTCGATCGTTACCCCCACTTGAGTCCGAGGCCATGCCTCTGTGCGGACAAACGAATCAAGCGGTGTTTTGCTTAGCGATGCACTGAGACGGGAAGTCGAAAACCGAATGAAACAAATATATCAAAGCGCGACTAAAACAAAAGAATTAGCGAAGCCCTGAAAAGGGCTGAGAAACGAGACCGAAAACCGCGCTCGAAATCACGTACGACCTGTCAGGACGGAGGTACGCGCACGAATATCAGCTGTGTCGATTGATCGGTATTACAAATGTAAGAAGGGGTATCCCTTTTGAATAATACTTTAAATGCTTGAATGTATGTCAGGATCACTTGATGACTACGTCTTGAAGACTTTTATTTTATTAAAATATTACAGATCGTAGGATTAATAAGTAGATTCAGTCTTTTATAAAGCTGTTGATTCTCTCGCCATTTTCATACGTCAGTCCTTTCTTTTTACGAAACAA